AGAGAGAGAGAGAGAGAGAGAGAGAGAGAGAGAGAGAGAGAGAGAGAGAGAGAGAGAGAGAGAGAGAGAGAGAGAGAGAGAGAGCAACACGATAGTCAGCTCGTTCTCCTCATACAGGCTGGCTGGACCACCCTGGTTCCAACACATACCACTGGTATTTGGCTCGCAGCTGACAAAAAAGGCAGGGAACCCCCAACAGTCAAGCAAGCCCACCATGGGCCATACATATCTCCCTGAGCTCTGCTCTCCTTTTTAGTTAACAGTAAATGAACAGAAACAGAATAGGTGCAAACAAAAAGGCTTGGGAAATTGCTCCATTGACATTGGCTAACACGGAATGCAGAGCAGATGCATGTCATGGTAGTGCCATGCATGCAAGCCATCCAAATCCCTGAACTGGATGTTGCAGAGTTTGGCCTGGCACGGGTCTGCAGAAAGATAAAGTTGTGCTCTCTTACTGTGAAGGTGGATACCTCTTTTACCTGTCAGGTCATTGGGGAGCAGTACGCCATACCATCTGGCAAGGCGTCTCGGTGACTGCCCTTCAGTAGGGACCAAATCACAAGCATGGCCATTGATGATAAGAAAATCCAACCGGAATAGCCTTCATGAAACTAACAATGGCTGATGACCCACTACGCTTCAGTTCAGCTCACATACACAGGATCGAGCAGGCACAGGTTCACCATGGGCACGCCTGGCTACACTCAACACATCCAGCCATACAAATTAGGATTACCCTGTGAGGAATGGGGAGTGAGTGCTCCATAGATCAGGCCCAACAGCTGCTGGCCCCCGTGCCCACAGAATAAAGATGCTAGGTAAAGAAGCGCAGCACGCCAGAAACTCGTACTTCCCCTGGTGTGAACTAGCAGCAGATCGAGAAGCGGTCCTGATGGCAGGAGCACAGGCTCCATCACCAACCTTCTTCATGATATCCAAAACTCCAAAGAAACTGCGTTCACGACGCTAACCACCACATCCCGTCAACTTTGTCCTAGGCACACAAACGCAGCAGACCATCCGCATCGGAAAAAGCCTTCGGAAAAGACGAGGCGAAATGATCACCACCTTTCCATCATCATTGTCATCAATGCTGTTGTCCTACACGATTGCCACCATCATCGTGCGTTTGAGCACGATGATGTCATCGTTGCTGTCATCACAGATGCGACCATCATCGTGTAACCATGATGACGGTGGGCATCCTCTCTGTGGGGCTGTTCTACGTACTGCCTCCGCTGCATCGTTTGCAGTTCGCCCAGTTTGTTCCACTCCTTGTCCAGTTGAGGCAAGAGATTGTTTGGGATTGGACGGAGTGCCTCTCAACATGGGACCCAGTGCCTTCCCCTCATAAGTGAAAATCCAACTCCCTGAAGAACCTTTTAGAACATGCCCAAAAACCTCTTGTACAAATTTGAACATTTGGAGTCAGAATATAGCACCCCTTATATTACCCACCTGCACAGCCAGAGACACACAAAGGCCCTATGCTCAGAATGACCACTGCACTGTCCGCTGCGAGGTCTTCTCTTCCCCTTTCCACGTACGAACACAAGTAAATGGTCTGCAGTTGCTCATGCTGATTCCCAAACTTTGGGTTGAAACTAAACTTCGGGGAGTCAGGATTCTTACTGTTGTGCGTCCCAACTCGCAGATTGTTTATTGCAGCGCACACTCGAGTCCAGGAATTTCTCCTAACGAGTTACATTGCTGCATCCAGTGCATACGTAACTTCGTGGTCGGCAGTTACCCCATTCTGTCCTCTTCACCGCCGTAGGATCTGACACAGTGAGACACACACAGAGACAGAC